TCCTCCTCCCTTTACCCTTCTCCTCCTTGTGCCCTCATCCCCCGTTGCCCTCCTTTTACCAACCTCCTCCTCCTCCTTGCTCCTCCTCCTCCTCCTCCTCCTCCTCCACCCCCATCTCCTTTGCTTCCCCCTTCTTGAATCCTCCTCCTCCTTCTCCTCCTCGTCCTCCTCCTCCCCCCTCCCTATTTGTGCCCCCCCTGGGCCCCTTTACTCTGCTCCTCTTACCTTCCTCTTCCTCCTCCTCCCCCTGTTATCCTCTTCCTCCTCCTTTTACCCCTCCGCCCTTTACCCCCCTCCCCCGTTACCCTCCTTTACCCACCTCCTCCTCCTCCTCCTCCCTTTTTCTTCCTCCTCCTTTTATCCTCCTCCTCCTCATCTTTTGTGCCTCCCTCAACCCCTTTGCCCTCCTCCTCCTCTTATCATCTTCCTCCTCCTTCTGCCCTCCTCCTTTTCCCCTCCTCCTCCTTTTACCCCCCTCCGCCGTCGCCCTCCTTTTACCATCCTTGAGCCATCCTTCTGCTTTTATCCTCCTCCTCATCCTTTTATCCTTCTCCTCCTTTAATCCTTCTTTTATCCACCAACTCCTCCTCCTTCTCCTCATGTGTGCCCCCCTGGGCCCCTCTACCCTCCTCCTCCTTTTATCCTCCTCCTCCTCCTCCTCCCTTTGCCCTCCTCCTTTTGCCCTCGCTCTACCCTCCTCCTACCCTCCTCCTTCTATCCTCCTCCTCCTCCTTTTACCTTCCTCCTCCCTTTACCCTCTTCCTCCTCCTTTAACACTCATCCCCCGTTACCTTCCTTTTACCCTCCTTCTCCTCCTCGTCCTTTTTTATTATCCTCCTCCTCATCAGTTGTGCCTCCCTGGGCCCCTTTAACCTCCTCCTCCTCCTCCTCCTTCTTTTTCATCCTTTCCCTTATTTGTGACTCGCTCTGTCGCACCCGCAGGTCAATTTTTAGGGTGGGCCTAGTGTTTCGCCTGAGACTCCCTCACCATTTTTGAACCTGAAGCTTAAACATTACCAGCCGTTTCACAGAGGGAAGGCTGGTGGTTTTCGATATGGTGCTCTCGCCTTAGCGCCGCGCACATAAGATCTTCACGGATTGAGGGCGGGTCGTTTTAAACATGCGGCTCTCGCCTTATCGCCGTGCGCATTCGTTTTAACACATTGCAAGTGTTTCACGGATTCACGGCGGGTGATTTTCAACATATTGTTCTCGCCTGAGCGCCCCGCGCGATCATTTTTAGAAATTTGTAAGATTTTCACGGACTGAGGGCGGGTCGTTTTCAACACTTGGTTCTCGCATTAGCGCCTCGCACATGCGTTTTAAACATTTGCAAGGGTTTCACGGGTTCGGGGTGGTTCCGTTTCACATTGTGGCTCTCGCCTTGGCGCCGCGCACATGCGTCTTAAATATTTGCAAGAGTCTCGCTGATTCGCATGATCAATGTACCAGACATGGTGTTTTGAAAAGGTTCAAGATTATGAGGATCAACAGCTACGTTGGTTCGCGGTGTTGAAGCCTCAGGAATGGCGCTCTGGTGCGGTTCAGAATCGTCAAGGCGCAACAGTCAGGTTGATCCGTGGCGTTGGAATCACGGGAACAATGTTTTGGCATGTTTCAGGGCCTTCAAACAGTTGCCTTCCAACGAGGCAGTTCCTTCGGTGGAAATGAACCGTTGTATGGGGCTTATGAAGATGGAGCTTGGAGGGTGGGTGTATTCCAACATCGTTGAGGACTCTTGGGTTTGCACTGACCCTTCTCCTCCTCCTTTTACCCTCCCCCTTTTGCCCTCCTCCTCCTTTTACCCTCCTCCCCCGCTGCCCTGTTTTTACCGTCCTCCTCCTTCTCTGCCTTGTATCCTCCTCCTTTTTATCCTCCTCTTCCACCTCCTCATTTGTGCCTCCCTGGGCCCCTTTACCCTCCTCCTCCTCCTCCTCCTCCTCCTCCTCCTCCTTTTATCATCTTCCTTGTCTTTTTACCCTCCTTCTTTTCTACACCTCCTTTTGACCTCCTCCCCCGTTATCCCCCTTTTGCTTTCCTTTTACCCTCCTGTCCGTTTTCCCCTCCTCCTCCTCCTCCTCCTTTTATCCTCCTCCTCCTTTTATCTTTCTCGTCCTGTTATCCTCCTCTTAATTTGTGCCTTACTGGGCCCCTGTACCCTCCTTCTCCTTTTATCCTGCTCCTCCTCCAATCACCCTCCTTTCAGCATCCTTTTACCATCCTCCTCCTTTCATCCTCCTCCTTCTCGTTTTACCCTCATCCTCTTACCCTCCTCCTTCTCTTATCCTCCTCCCTCGTTGCCCTCCTTTTACAATTACACAATATGAAAATACTCTCCCACTTCCCCTGATGGCGTCCCGCAGATATCCGACACCCCCCCGCGTATTGTTTTTTACACACAAGATTCCCGGGAAACGGGTTTTCGCTTGCGTTTTTTTCCAAAATGCTGCTCTCGCTGAGGCGCCGGCCTCATTTCTGCTCCCGAATCGTTCCGAATCGTGCTCCCGCTGCAGCGTGGGCCTCGTTTTCGGATCGGTGTTTTGCCTCCGTCGTTCAGGATGGCGTTCTCGCCCCAGCGCGGGCCTCTTTCTTGCGCGCCCATCCGCCCGCCACCACCGCGCCGCACCACGTCCCGCCCCGCCGCACGCACACCCACCGCCACTTCCACCCACCAACGCACGCACGCACGCACGCGCACCACCACCGCGCACCGCCACCACCACCGCACTACCCCACCCACCACCACCACGCTACACCGCGTCACACCACATCACACGCGCGCACACACAGACACACGCACGCACGCACACACACACACACGCACACACACGCACGCACACACACAGACACACACACACACACACCACCACCGCCACCACCGCCACCACCACCACCGCCATCACGCACGCATGCACCTGGCCCACCACCAAACCACCAAGACGCCACACCACGTCACACCACAGCACACGCGCACACACGCACACACACACACACGCCACAACACACCACCACCACCACCACCACCACGCACACACGCACGCACGCACGCACGCACGCACCACCACCCACTACGCACACGCGCGCGGAGCCACAGGTCCGCTACGACACGCGTCCGCGGATAGAGAAAATCAGCGCCATGGTAAGGGATGGGAGGGAGGGGTAGGATGTCAGATGTTGACGCGAGCGCACCTAACTTGACCCTCCCCCTCCTCCTCCTCCTCCACCTCCTCCTCCGCCTCCTCATTTGTGCCTCACTGGGCCCCTTTACCCTCCTCCTCCTCTTTTTACCCTCCTCCTCCTTTTACCCTCTTCCTACTTTTACCCCCTCCTCCTTCTACCCTCTTCCTCCGATACCCTCCTTTTACCTTCCTTTTACCATCCTCCTCCTGTTATCCTGCCCCTCCCCCTTTTTATCCTCCTCCTTTATCCTCCTCCTCCTCCTCCTCGTCCTCATTTGTGTCTCCCGGGGTCCCTTTGCCCTCCTCCTCAATTCATCCTCCTCCTCCTACTTCTCTCGCCCCCCTCCTTCCTTTACCCTCCCTTTACCTCCTTCTACCCCCCTCCTCCTTTTACCCTCCTTTTACCCTTCTTCTCCTTTTATCCTCCTCCTCCTTTTACCCTCCTCATCCTTTTACCCTCCGCCTCCTTTTACCCTCCGCCTCCGTTGCCCTCCTTTTACCCTTCTTTTACCCTCCTCCTACTTTTATCCTCCTCTTCCTCCTTTGTCGTCCTACTCCCTTTACCCTTCTCCCCCTCCTCCTTTTTCCCCCTCCTCCTTTTGCCTCCTTTCCCTCCTCCTCCTTTCATCCTCTTCCCCGTCCTTTTACCCCCCTCCTCCTTTTAACCCTCCTCCTCCTTTTGCCCTCCTCTCCCGTTACCTTCCTTTTACCCTCCTCTTACCCTCCTCCTCCTTTTATCCTCCTCCTCCTTTTATCCTCCTCCTTCTATCCTCCTCCTCCTCATTTGTGCCTTCCTTGGCTCCTTTACCCTCCTCTTCCTTTCGTCCTCCTCCTCTTCCTTTCATCCCCTCTTCCTTTTACCCTCCTTTTACCTCCCTTTTACCCTCATCCTCCTTTTATCCTCGTCCTCCTCCTCCTTTTGCCCTCCTCTTCCTCTTCCTCCTTTTACACTCCTCCTTTTGCCACCCTCCCCCGTTGCCCTCTTTTTGCCATCCACCTCCTCCGCCTCCTCCTTTTATCCGCCTCCCGCTTTTATCCTCCTCCTCATCATTTGTGCCTTCCTGAGCCCGGTTGCCCTCCTCCTCCTTTTATCCTCCCCCTTCTGCTTTTACCTCCCTCCTCCTCCGTGACCCTCCTTTTGCTCTCTTTTTACCCTCCTCCTCCTGTTATCCTCCTCCTCCTTTCACCCTCCTCCTCCTTTTATCTTCCTCCTCATTTACGCCTCGCTGGGCCCCTTTACCACCTTCCTCCTCCTTTTATCCTCCCCCTCCTCCTTCTACCCTCCTCCTCCTTTTACTCTCCTTTTACCCCCGTTCTCCCTCTTTTTTTCTCCTCGTCCTCCTCCTTTTGCCCTCCTCCTCCTCTTGCCCTCGCCCTGCTTTTACCATCCGTTTACCTCCCTTTTTTACCCTCCTCCTCCTTTCTATCCCCCTCTTCCTCCTTCTGCCCTCCTCCGCCTTTCGCCCTCCTCCTTCTCTGCTCCTCCTCTTGCCCTCCTCCTCCTCCTCCTCCTCCTCCTCCTCCTCCTCTCCTCCTCCATCCTCCTCCTCCTCCTCCTCCCCCCCATCCTCCTCCTCCTCCTCCTCTCTCCTCCTCCTCCTCCTCCTCCTCCTCCTCCTCCTCCTCCTCCTCCTCCTCCTCCTCCTCCTCCTCCTCTCTTCCTCCTCCTCCTCCTCCTCCTCCTCCTCCTCCTCCTCCTCCTCCTCCTCCTCCTCCTCCTCCACCTCCTCCTCCTCCTCCTCCTCCTCCCCCTCCCCCTCCTCCTCCTCCCCGGGGCTCGCCGGGCCCGCCCCGCCCCCCCCCGCGCGCCGCGGGGCGGAGGCGCTCTCCGTCCTCCGCCTCGCCCTGCCGTGCGCCGCCCTCGCGGGCCTGCCGAAGGAGGGGCGCGGGGGCCTTCTCCGCCTCGTCGTCGCCGTCGTCGTCGTCGTCGTCGCCGCCGTCGCCGTCGTTGTCGTCGTCGTCGTCGTCGTCGTCGTCGTCGCCGTCGTCGTCCAGGTCCCATCACCCACCAAACCACCTACCAAACCACCCCAACCCAGCCTTCCCCTCCTCCTCGCGCCATCTCCTTTCTCATCCCTTCTCCTCCTCCTCCCTCCCTCCCTCCTTCCCTCCCTTCTCCCCCCTCCCCCTCCCCCTCCTCGCCCCCCCCTTCACCGCCCTCCGCCGCCAAGTGGTGATAGAGTTGTTCGTCCACCCCGAGGCCAAACATCTCTGAGGAAACGAATAGCTAAACGGGCTCCTGGACCACATCCAGAAGTGCGTTTGGGCATGATGTCCTCCTCCTCCTCAGCCTCCTCCTCCTGTCCTTCCTCGTCCCTCCTCCTCTGTCCTCCCTCCTCCCTCCTCCCTCCTCCCTTCTCCCTCCTCCTCCTGCTCCTCCTCCCCCCGCCTCCTCCTCCTCCTCCTCCCCGCTGGCCTGGCCGTCGGAGGCGTGCTGGCCAGCGGACGACGACAAGGAGGAGGAGGAGGAGGAGGAGGAGGAGGAGGAGGAGGAGGAGGAGGAGGAGGAGGAGAAGGGCGACGACGAGGAAAGGACGCGGAGGAGGAAGACGAGGAGGATGATGATGACGACGAGGATTAGGAGGAGGACGAGGAGGATGAGGAGGGAGACGACGACGCTGAGGACGAGGATGGTGGGGACGACGAAGCGGAGGAGGAGGAGGAAGAGGAGAAGCGCGACGACAAGGTGTCGTATGTGTGAATTAGCTGAGTGTCGTACGAGAGGGGAAACTCGCGTATGCCACGTGTGTCGTATGTCGTATGTGTGAACGGCTGACTGAGCGAACCCGTTTGACTTGCAAATTCTTTCAAGTTTCCCAAACCATTCCCCCAACATGATTATCACATTCCCGCAGAATTCCTTCATTATTCCCACGCGGTGCCCTCGTCGAGCACTCCCCCATGACAGTTTGCATTTCATTTCCAGCGACGTAGATAGTTATGTATGTACGAATTCTGCTTGATGTTTATGTTTCAACCACTTGTTTCAATCGCGTAGAACCTTAACCTTGTGCACATTCTGTTCAGGCTATGTTGACCATAATTTCAGCGGCGTAGACCTGTATAGCCTTTACACATAGTGTTTCGGTGTGCAGGTGACTGAAAAAACACGGATAACCCATCTGGACGATGCCTCGATTCGGGAGGCGACAAGCATCTTTGGAGAAACGAATAGGCTAAGCTATGGCGCGAAGTTCACGCTGGCGTTTTGGAGTTCCTCATTGTGCAACAGCTGTGCGGATGGACGCGGAGGTGGTTCCTTTTCGAAACGTTGCCCTTGCTTCATACTTCGCCGACTTCTGTGACGATGCTTTTGAGCCTGTGCGGCGCTTGCGCAGACGGAGGGTCGATATGTTTCGAACCGGGTCTATCGCTGGACACTTGCTCGGACGGTGTCGTCCTACCTGCTTGCGTTTGATGGATGGACGGCGGATTGTTTACGACACCATGTAGTCTCGCCCCGGTGGCTGGCCCACTGGGCGTTCGTGGTTCAGGGGGGCGCTTCCCACAGAGGACATCTAGGGACCTACGCGGAGGGAGCTCAAGGACGGGAGTTTGCATCGCAGCATCGTGGATGCATCCTTGCTTTGCTCTGGTCCTCCTCCTCCTCCTCCCTCTCAGAGGGGGGGAGGGAGGGGGGAGTGCTCCGGATGGTGTGTCTATCAAGTGGAAGTTGATGGACCTTCCGAAAGAGCTTGCCCAACCCCGTTTTTGCCTCGTCGCCTCCTCCTCCTCCCGTTCTCCTCTTCCTCCAACCCTCCACCAGTTCCGACAGCACGTGCTCAACCCCCCCGCGGATCCGAGGGGGGGGGGCGATTATTGTCCCATGTCTCTTTCTCTCTCTCCTTCTCCTCCTCGTCCTCCTCTTCATCGTCGGCCTGTCCTAGTATGGCTGAGTCCCCTTCCTATCCGTTGGGAAGCTGGCAGTCTTTCTCGTCGGGTCTTCGCAAAAGCATGTCCCATCGAGAGTAACGGAGCAGAGCGGGAGGGGGTGGGAGCGGAGCGGGAAACGACATGGCAAACCGATCTGCACCCCCGCCAGAGTCTTCGCCTACCCAATGCGCCGCGGCGGCGGCGTTGGGAGGGCGCGCTCGCCGTCAAGCAGAGGTTGTTGAACGAGGCGGAGAGAAGAGCGGTCTACAAGACGGACTCCAGAGGAGGAGGCGGAGGAAGAGGAGGGAGGAGGGAGGAGGAGGAGGAGGAGGAGGAGGAAAAGGGAAGAGGAAGAGGAAGGAGGGGTAGGAGGAGGAGGGGTGATGCTGCTGCTGAAGATGCTGCTGCTGATGATTCTGATGGTGATGATGATGCTGACGATTTTTGTGATGATGATGCTGATGCTGATTCTGCCGATTATGATACTGCTGATGACGAAACTGGTGATGATGATGACGACGGCGACAACGATGCTGATGATGATGGTGATGCTGGTGATCATGATGATGTTGTTGCTAATGATGGTGATGATGCTGATCCTGATGAGGATTATGGTGAGGATGATGACGAGGATGAGGATGAGGATGAGCGTGAGGGCCTGAGGGTGAGGATGAGGCTGATGATGATGATGCTGATGATGATGATGATGATGATGATGCTGATGATGATGATGATGATGAGGATGAGGATGAGGATGAGGATGAGGATGAGGATGAGGATTAGGATTAGGATTAGGGTAAGGATGAGGACGATCATGAGGATGGGCATGATGATGATGAGGAGGACGAGGAGGAGGAGGCGGAGGAGGAGGAGGAGGAGGAGGAGGAGGGGGAGGAGGAGGAGGGGGAGGATGGAGGGGGAGGGGGCGAGGCCGTCCTCTTTGTCACGATGACCCCCCACCCAGCGGGGCCCCACGATTCCCATCAGGATCATCCCGATTCCCAGCAGAGCCCCTCCCTCCCCCCGCAGACGGGCCTGCCCACCTCGCAGCATGACCCGTACAACTCCCATAATGATTCCCCCCACCAGCAACACCCCCCCCACTCCCAACATGACCCCTCCCCCTCACACTCCGAGCAGGACCCCCTCAACCCCAAGAGGATCCCCCAGCGCCCAGCAGCTCCCTCCCCCGCCCAGCACCCGCCAGGACCTGTCTACTCTCAGCAGGACCCCACCCCAATCCCCGCCGCGCTGGCAACGCCACCCGAGGCGCTGGCAGCGCACCTCACCCCCCCAGTTCCCAGCAGGACCCCACAGTTACCAGCTTCCCCTCTCCGTCGCCCCACTGGGAAATCGCTTAAGATGTCTACCCTCATCACCCAATCATGGTCGCTCACGCATTTCTCCAGACGAGCCACGGTAAGATGATGATGATGCAGCTGCTGCTGCTGTTGCTGTTGAGGATCTCTGTGCTGCTGCTACTTCTACTGCTGTTGCGGCTGCAGCTCCTGCTGCTGCTGCTGATGATGATGATGCCGATACTGACGATGATGCTGATGCTGCTGATGATCATGACGATGATGATGATGATGATGATGATGATGATGATGATGATGATGATGATGATGATGATGATGATGATGATGATGATGATGATGATCATGATGATGCTGATGATGCTGATGATGATGATGCTGATGATGGTGATGGTGATGATGATGATGCTGATGCTGATGATGATGCTGCTGATGATGATGCTGATACTGATGATTGCGATGTTGATGATGTTGATGATGCTGATGATCAGGATGATGATGATTATGCTGATGCTGACGATAATGCTGACGATGATGATGCTGATGGTAATGCCGATGACGACTACTGGTGATGATGATGCTGATGCTGATGGTCCTGCTGCTGCTGATGATGCTGCTGATGATGATGGTCAGGAACACGGTGGTGGACAGGATGATGGTGATGCTGATGTCGATGATGGTGGTGGTGACGATGATGCGGCTGATGCTGACGACGACGATGACGACGATGATTCTGTTGCTGCTGACGGTGACTATGTCGATAGGGATAATGGCGACGACGGCGATGGTGATGATGATGACGACGATTATGCTGATGATGGTGATACTGATGCTGATGATGCTGATGATAACGGCGACGATGCTGCTGCTGCTGATGATGATGAGGATTATGATGATGGTGATGGTGCTGATGGTTCTGATGCTGATGATGCTGCATATGAGGATCTAAATGATGATGCCAACGCCAATGACATTCACATTGACAATGATAGTGCTCATGATGCTGATGATGATGAGGATGGTGGTGATGATGAGGATGGCGATGATGATGATGGTGATGTTGATTCTGATGATGATGATTAAGCCGACGATGATGATGCTGATGATGATGGTGCTGCTGTAGCGGATGATGATGAATATGATGATGCTGAAGCCGATCATGATGATGATGCTGATGATGATGATGATGATGATGATGGTGGTGGTCTTGGTGGTGGTGGTTGTGATGATGATGCTGATGCTGATGCTGATGATGATGATGATGATGATGATGGTGGTGGTGGTGGTGGTGGTGGTGATGATGGTGGTGGTGGTGGTGATGATGATGTTGATGATGCTGATGATGATAATTATGATGGGAGGTTCAGGAGGAGGATATGGAAAAGAAGGAGGAGGAGACACAGCAGCATGAGCATGGAGGGGGAGGACGCTCGAGGTTTGAGATGCTCGTTCTGCTCAGGAGCTTTCGGGAGGCTCCGCGTCGGCACCGCTGCGTTCCCTTGGAGCTCGGACCGACCGCCCATTCCAGTGGATGTCGGGGGGGACTCCCCGATTGACCACCTTGCCCAGAGGGTTCTTGCCGTCTGTCCCACTTCAGGTGAGCACGGGTGCCCCGGGGCGGCGAGCCTGCTCCGAGCGCGCCCGCTCGCCTGCGGCGCACACCACGCTGCCCACGCCGCTCCCGCAGTGGGCCTTCCCAGAGGACTCTTACGATCTTAGGTTGTGCCTCCCCAGATGCAGGCACCCTGCGATGGTATCCCTCCCGGGAGCCTCCTGCAGGCCTCCCGTGCCCGCTCGCGTGCGGCGCAATCCCTGCCGCCAGCACTGCCAGCAGGAGACTCACGCCACCCGTGTCTGCTCGCTCCCACGGCGCATCTTGTGGCCAGCGTTGCCGGCAGGAAACCCATTCTACTCGCGCCAGCTCGCCTCCAGTACACATGCCGCAAGCATGCGTTCGTTGTCGCTACGAAGCCTGCCAGGATGCTCACTCCGGGAGCGCTCAGCTGGGAAGATAGACGGTGCTCGCGGCGGCCACCCGTCGGCTACGGCGCCGATTGCAGGGCCTGGCCCGGCCTGGTCGACCCCGCAGGCGAGCGCTTCCTCGTCGTCGTCGTCGTCACCGTCGTCGTCGTTGTCACCGTCCCGGGCTACGAGACCATTGTGGCCCCCCTCATGGCCAGTGTTGAGGCCAAGGAGGAGGAGGAGGAGGCTCGTCAAGCCCGTTTCGGTCGAGGATTTGCCAATTAAACTATGTTGAATTCTGTGCGCCCCAGCATGCATGCAGGTTCGGAATGCTTTCGAAACCTGCGTGCATGCAGGTTCGGAGTGATTTGCCGCCGTCTCCAACCCTATCCTCACCGTCATCACCGCCATCATCGTCATCATCGCTAGCACCATCACCATCATCACCGTCATTATCATCATCGTCATCCCCACCGCCATTGTTGGATGTGCCTCATCATCGTCATCCTCGTTACCATCATCTTCAATCGTGTCGAAGCTGTTGTGCCTTCATCGCCATCATGATCGTCCTTATCATCCGCCTCTCCATCCCCTCGTCGCCATTATCAGTCAAACGACCGCACTGGTTCGCGCGATCCCGCGCTCCAGCAAGGCGAAAACGATGTCTGGCAAGGTCAAAGCTTCCAGCCAGGTGCCTTGTCCGTGGGCGAACGTAGCGACCACGGACAATCCGGTTACCGTCACGCCGCCGCAATGGTGAGACAATTTCGGCGTGCAACCAGGGAATAATCGAACGCCTCGGCACGTGCTGTACCGCGCCATGCGGCCAGACTGCCGTGACATCATGTGGCACTTTTGTGAAGTTATGCCTTGCGGCAAGCAGAGCGATGCTCTGCGTCGATGTGTTTTGCGATCGCTGGAAATTGCGAGCCATGGGCCTTCGCCATTTTTACCTGCGTATTGGTCGCTCCATTGTGCGAAACGCTGGCGTGAGCTTTCGCAACAGGCTCGTTCCGATGACATCACAAACAGCGCATGGTCGCCGTTGACTTGCGGGAATGGTACCAATTCTGTCCTGAACATGGCGAGCCAATCTAAGAACGCTACGCCGTCGATCTGTTGACCGACAAGCCGCAGAAACAGTTCTTCATGCAGTGTGGTCCTGGTGATTACACGTATGCGAAAGATATGTTCGATGTGGAAATTCGTTGGTCCTGTTCGAGCGGGGCAGGTTCTTCTCAAGTGGAGGGGGCAAGTTCCCCTGTCGATCTTCACCGTCGTCGACGCCCGCGGCGGAGCAACAGTCGAACCTCTGCTCGCCCTTCTCAGGCGAGAGGTTCCACGCATGAGTGGATCGACGTGCTTGATCAACGAGTGTTTTGTGGAGCAGCATCGGAGCGACGTGGGCGATTTTGAGCAGCGGGATGCAGCGCGCGAAATCGACATACATGTCAAATCTGCCCTGTGCCGCGGAGTGAACGACCAGAAATCCTTCAGCCATGACAGGGCCCAAACGGCTTCCAGCCTGGACGGGGCCTCCGGCAGTCTCAGCGGGGGCCCCCGGCAGTTCCAGCGCCTCGCAGCCGCGCCCCCACTTGGCCAAGGTCGAGGGACCCCTGGAGGTCTCGACCCATGTCTCCGGACCCGCTTCTCACCCTCCTCCTCCTCCTCCTCCTCGTCCTCCTCCTCCTCCTCCCTCGTCCTCGTCCTCCTCCTCCTCCTCCTGCTCGTCATCCTCCTCCTCCTCCTCCTCCTCCTCCTCCTCCTCCTCCTCCGCATGCCCCCGCAGCTGGACACGTCACAGCTGGCTAGCAGGCTGCTGGCAGAACGAGGCGCGTTTGTGGCCTATGGCTAGGGTGTGTGGAGCTAGCGCGGCGTCGGGCTTCGCAGCCACCGCGGGCGCCGCGGCCGCCTCGTCCTCTCCCTCGTCCTCCTCCTCCCCCCCCTCCTCCAGCTCGGCGTGGGGGCTCTTGGTTCCTACGTCCCCCCCTCCCCCTCCTCCCCCTCCTCCTCCTCCCTCCCCCACATCCCTCACCTCTCCCCCGCTTCCTCCTCCTCCTCCTCTTTTTCCCCTCCCTCCTCCCCCTTCTCGGGGAGAGGCGAAGCGCTGCGTGGCAGTTCTGGAGAGCATCGCTGCAGCAGAAGGCGACGAGAGGGATGCGCCCATGGAGGCCGAGCTTGGCGGGCGCTCAGAATCGCCCGCGCCAGTCCCCGCGCGCGTCGGAGTCGCTTTCACCGGCCTCGCGCGCGCAGTCTTGGAGGCGGCCGCATGCGAATCGAGATTCGTGCTCGCGGGGGCCCAAGGCGCCGTCCGTCCTGGGGTGTGCGGGGTGCGCGGGAGGCGCCGCCGCAGTGCAAGTTCAAGGTGTCAGGCGCAGCGCTTGGCATCGCAATGTGCGAGGGCTTTCAGCGTGAAACCGCTGCAAGTGACAGCCTAATGCTTCAGCCAAGTGGCCGCTTGCAAGTGTTAGCTTCAGGCTTTCAGCTTCAGGCTTTCTGCCAAGCGGCAGCGCGATGCTTTCAGCGCTGCAAGTGGCGTCGCGGTGTCGAAGGTGGGTCGCTGCATGTGCCAGCCAGAGCTTTTCAGCCACGTGGCAGTCTGCATGTGCCAGCCTGGGGCTCTCAGAGGCTTTCAGACTGAGGTTTTCATGCCAGTGGCAGCGCGATGCTGCCAACGCTGACAGCGGAAATCGCCAACATCACCATCAGTACCATCATCAATAGCACTTACATCACCACCACCACCATCACCACCATCATCACCATCATCACCACTGTCATCACCTTCGTGCTCATCAGAACCGTCATCACCACACAATCGCCACCGTCATCGCCGTCATCATCATTACCATCATGATGATGAAGACGGCGAAAGCAAACACTCAGAACCTGCGTGGGTTCAGGTTTCGAACGCACTCCGAACTTGCATGCGTGCAGGCTCAATTCAGTTGGTTCGTCATCTACACTTGCTTGGTTTCCTCATGCTGCGGTGGTGCAGCCTGTCGTCCATTCTGGTGACGTCGATAAATCATTCGTTGTGTCGTCCTGTGTCTTGTCACCAACGACGAAAGCAGCGCATTGCTGCCAACAAGAATTCGTTTTTGTCGTGTGTCCTTCCTGGTAGTTTGGGGAGATGGCGAGGGGGAGAAAGAGGATGAGGATGAGGACCAATGGGGGGGGGAAGAGGAGGAGGAGGAGGAGGAGGAGGAGGTTGAGGAAGAGGAGGAGGAGGAGGAGGAGGAGGAGGAGGAGGAGGAGGAGTATGATGATGATGATGATGCTGCTGATGATGATAATGATGATGATGATGCTGATGATGATGATGAGGATGATGATGAGGATGAGGATGAGGACAAGGATGAGGATGAGGCTGAGGATGAGGATGATGATGATGATGCTGGTGATCAGGATGACGAGGATGCTGAGGATAATGAGGATGATGAGGGTGATGATGATGACGCTGATGATGATGATGATGATGCTGATGATGAGGATGATGATGATGATGCTGATCCTGATGATGATGCTGTTGCTGCTGATGATGATGATGATGCTGATGCTGCTGCTGATGATGACGATGATGATGGTGATGATGGGGATGCTGCTGCTGATGCTGCTGATGATGATGATGATGACG